AAATAATTAATTAAAAATATAAATAAACAATCAACTTCTCTCCCTATCAAATGTATTACAACAATGTCAAAAACAGTTTCTCAAAAACTATCGAGAAAAGATTGCTTTCCTGTGTAGAGAGACTATCTAAGATAAGTCACTTTACCCAGAGCTTCGGGTAAGCCAAGACCCAGACTCGTGAGTAATCTGCCATTCGTGTGTATCACGTCCACGAACGGAGCGTCATCTTTATGTAAATGAACGGATTGATCAGCATTGTTGAAACATGGTTGCGCTGGATCCAATCCGGTGATTCTCTTCACCGTCCATTTGTTCCGTCTTTTCGTCAGCTCTTTAGCGGCAAATCCGCAAATGTGAGCGCCGAGACTGTGCCCTATCAGATGCAGAGGTCCCCAGTTTCTCGTGTCCGACCCTTTGTCGTTAATTGTGGCATTTGTTATGTGTTCTATAAGTCTTCGTGAACGAATTGCAACGTTAAAAAAAAAAAACAAATCAAGTCGACTTCTGTTCGAAACAAACAGCATAACGTTGTTCGAAAGATTTCGAAAAGACACATTTGAAGAAGAAAACGATAATTAAACGTTCATGAAAATTGTATAAAATATAAAATCAACGAGAAATTATAAAAACTATAAAATATATAATTTAAACATCTCGAGATGTCTTTTGGATATCTTTCAAACTCTTGTTCGCTCAATTTACATTAACGTGTACACACTTGGAAATTTGGTATCCTACTATTCTAGTGTTGACCGCTGCTTTGTAATAATTCCAAGTATTACCGCCGGCGCTCCAGTCTACTACCACCACATTAACATCATCCTGTATACAATAAAAATAATATAATATAATTCCATGCAAAATATTATTAAACACTTGAAGAAGCGTCACAGCACACATAGTGTCGTACCCATTCGTGGAACGCCTTTTCCATATCCTTGATCCAGTCCTCCCCGCCGTGCGACAGAAATCCGTGAACTATAAAAACCGTCCTGCGTTCAATCCTAAAGTCAGTCCACTCCAATCCGAACTGGTCGCCAATATCCACGTGCACGCGGCGTCGCACTTTTGTCGAGGACATGAAAAATCGCACGTCCAACGCGTTGCTTCCATTCGGCTCGCTCACGAAGATATTTTCCAGACTCGACGCGATCGTTCTTCCAAGTCCGAAACAATCGACTTGCTGGTCGGACTCTTGCGTACCTAGCGTAGAGTTGTAGGCATGTTCGGTCAAGTTTGATAACGCGCGAGCGGTCAGCGTGTACGTGAAGTTCGCCAAGTTGGTCACGTTTATTAAATTTCGCGGCCGCGTAATAACTCGCGTCGTTTGATTCACTACATTTTGCAAAGGATTCACTACATTTTGCAAAGGATTCACTACATTTTGCAAAGGTTGAGTTAAACTCGTCACGTTTAAACAAAAATGTTCCCGGATGAGAAGTTGAATTAACAGGAGCTTGAACACGAATGTAACGCACGCCATGATCACGGTGCGCGTATTGACTCTGACACCGCTAGTTTGGTAATGCTCTCAGAGAGAGTCGATCGCACTTCGCTTCACAACAAATTACGCGATTATCGCTTCTCGGTGATAAATAGTCGTGACGTTTGCGTCTCGCGTTTATAATCACGAAAGTCTAAAAACAAAGTAATTTTTTATTGTCGATCAGCAGAGAGAAGAAGACAGCGTTGAATTGCGCAAAGAAAAACGGACTTTTGACTCGGTTATCAAATATTATCAAACAAAACAAAAAAAAAAAAAAAAAAGAAAAAAACAGTAAGCAAGGAAGAGAAATTGAGCGTTTGAGCCGTTTCTGTGAAAGAAACAAATAAACTCAATAAACGAATTCCTTCGCTACATCACGTTCGGAAGTCTTGAGATCGGACGTATTATTACAGAAAAAATAATCGGACGGGGTGTTGAAATGCGAAAAGAACGTCGAGATGTGTCATTAGCACGCAACAATTAAGCTCTTGCGCGTTATTCAATTGTTATTCACCGTAAGTTGTTTGTCATATTAGACGGCCAATCGCAAGCGGGAATTGCAAAATTTGTGGTTCTGCGATCTCGCGACAGCCAATAAGCATCGCGAGCTTCTCATTCTTACGGCGAAACATTACTCTCATAATCACGAAAGTCTAAAAAAAAAAAAACATGCTCTTCGTTGATCTCTGCTAATTGACTGTTACAACATAGACGCTCAAATCGCACGACTCTTGCGACAATGTACAAACTGAGCACTGCGATCAATGTAAAAACTTATAAACATTATATCTTGCGCCTCGCTGTGAAATTATTGAAAATATCTCACTTCATATTTAAGCAAGTAACGTAAATACAAGCCTGCAGAGTAGATACAACGCGGCAAGATATTACCAAGGAATAATACTGGTACTATAGTTAGACGATTTTCCTCATCCAGTATCGTTTCCGCAAACTTAACTACTTGAAATTGGCGTTCTATGTCGCACTTAGTGAAACATTGAACCGATACCGTGGTGTTACGAAATACGTAACAAAATTACCGTTCTCGTATCGTGCGCCAGTATTTTTCCATATTAAAACAATTCGTATCAGACGGCATCTCCGATGATTCCAAAGTCCCAAAGGTGGTCAACACCTCCGACTCTGACGAAACGCAAATTGAAGTTTGACTATTCTGAGATCGCATTAATTCACGTCTCCGTTTGTCAAAAAATAAAAAAAAAAATAAAAAAATAAAAAATAAAAAAAACTATCGCAACGACGCGTTCGAAAAAACTTTCTCAGAGTTGCTTATGTTTTAAATACGATAAAAATACTAAATAAAGATACACTAACGCGTAATCACAGTATTTGAGTTTTCTAGTGAACTGTATTTTTATCATTTTTTTAATAGAAAAAAAATACATAACAATTATATTTACAGATATACTCTGTGTACAGATATATAAATGCAAATTACACTAAGAAACAACATAAAAGAAACGTATTTCAATTGTTACACAGTTGACACGCACACAGGCATATCTTTCGAAAGAATTTAAATAAAACTGTTTTTATTCAGTACAGTGTAAGAACTCCAGTGATTTCGAGCATCGCAATTTCAGCTCTTCCTTTGCAGAAACAAACCAATTGTTTTTTTTTTCTCACTATTGATTCCCCGATATTCTTAACTGCGCAACTCGCAAAATGCGCGTCTATTTCTATTTTAAGAGTCTAAGAGAAAGAGAAATCTATCTTTCGTCTCTTGCTACCAGTCGCCAACTGGAAGGGGAAGAGAATGAGTAAATCCAGAAACACATCCGCTCACTGACTACTTAGTGAGCACTTTTTCACATGTACTGACCGAATATAAAGTTCAGTTTGCTTAACGTCATTTGTCATATTTTTTGTAGATATATTGTGTGTGTAGATTATATTTCAAAAAATTTCTACATACTAGAGGCACAACACAGACGCGCGCTGCGCGCACGCTATTATTTTTATTTCAGCGTGTTCCGTCACCGCGATGACAGCTAGTACACATTTGTACATGAATCGAGAAACACATCATAGAAACGTCACCGAGACGTCTAATCAGCTTTGACAGTAAAAAAGTAGCAACAATCAAGATCGAGAGAATCGATTCTGATTATTTACCACACGCTTTTTCTAGAGTCTGAAACAGTATCTAACTGTTTAATAAATTCATTTTTCAATTGTTTGCAATAAAAAATAATTTAACTTACCAATTAAAAGATAAAAATTAACAACACAAAAATTATACTAGTTAGCAACTTTTAGGAATATTAAATTCAAAGAGCTGTAGAGTATAAGCGAAGTGAGTGATGATGCAAAACTACGCTCAAATAGCGATCGCTCACTGAGCGTTGAGTGAGCGGTTGTGCTTCGGGATGCACTCAAATCTAATTTCTGGGAAGAATCGCACGCGCACGGTCCTGCGTGCTCGACATCAGTTAATGGAGTTCGGTACTGTGTATAAAAATTGCAGCGAACGTTAGAACAAGCTACGAGAGTTTACTGTCGTTTTTATATAATATAAACATTTCACTTCTTTCTGCAATAAGTAACAATTCAATAAGAACAAAAATCCAGAAAGAAATCGTGTTATTTGTCGTGTTATGCAATTTATGCACAACGCTTCTGCTTCTTTCGCTTCTTGTATTTTTCTTTTTTCTGGAATTATTAAAAATATATTTATGCGGTAAAACGTGCCTCGAACAATATTATATCTATGAAAACACAAGTAAAACATCGCGTTTGCTTACCTGGGACTGCTGAAATTGTGTTTGATTCGCGTTGTCTTGTGTACTACCGCCCTGGAAACTGCTGAAATCTACTGATTTGTAGTCAAAGTTGTTTGAAGGTAACATACCTTGTTGCTCCAATAGCTTTTTGTACTGTTTCTTCTCGCGTTTTTTCCTACCTCTGATAAATAAGAGTACTATTAGTATCTTAAAGAATAGTACTCTTATATATGTACACACACAATTGGTCATATCATTGGTCGTATCATTTCTTCCGAAGTTTCTTACCTTAGGGATTTAATGTTTTCAGTATCATCAGCACTCGGAACTTGCGTATTCTCTTGTATCTCATTTACAATCGTTTCTTCTTTTTTTACTTTCTTAGACTTGCGTACGACTTGAACGTCCGGAGATGGGATTGGCACAGTAAATTGGCCATTGTCGCTCATTTCCTGATTATCGCGACCGATGTTAGATTCTCTCTTTCTCTTTCTACCGTGCATTTGACCCAAGACTAGTTTTTTCGATTTTTTCTTCTTTTTGGACGGGGTCGCGGATGTCTCGTTCATTGTTTGAGATATCTGTTTGAAGTGTTCGTAAACTCTCTCTTTGCTCTCGTTGATCGTAGCGTCTACGTTTTCTTCGACCTTCACAGTCGCGAGCTTTCTTTCCTCTTCTTCTTCTTCCTCTTCCTTCTTTCGTTGTCTCTCTCGTTCCTCTGCCTCGTGTTCAACTATCATCGGTATCACACATTTGTATCTCATATACGGACTCACGAATATAGCCTTTTTCTCACCGTCTTTTGCGTTTTTGTCCTAAAATGAAACAAATCGCAGCTTCGTTATTTTTTTTGTCACAAAAAAATATTCAAACGCAAAAGCAACTAGTCTTTTTAACACTGTTTGGAGAAGTTTTTCTCTAAAAAAAAAATAATAAAATAAAATAAAATAAATCGAAATATTTTATTTGCTAAAACAGATATTTCTCTTATTTATACATTAGATACATATACATGTATAAAAATGTATACATATCATAAATTGTTATTATAATTGCTGCTGTACTTGTACCTCTGATGTAATTGGCATATCAAATACTGTCACGGTGTGCTTCATTGTCACGTGTGGTTTGACTTTCGTTCTCTGTAGCAAACCGTTCTTATCCAGTAGACAAGGCAGATCCGCTCTCTCTTCTGTGCCGCTCGGTATGTCGTGCGGCATGTACAAAGACGTGGAATCTATCGTGTTGTTTTGCTGTATCGATCTGTTCTGTCGAATATCTTGTTCCGGAACAGTCGTTATAAGCGGCTGCTCCCGCGCTTTCACCACTATTTTATGTAATTTCAATAAGTTTTGTCGCACCAACGGCGGGATTGGATTGCAACACGCCAGAATGCCTTGCATTTCGCGCGGCAATGTCTCGGCTATATTGAGCAGCATGTGGTTCGGCAACACATAACCGATACTGTCATCTTCTTCTCTCGCGGTGATGTCTCGCCATTTGTGCAACTCCAGTAGAGCGTACATTTGTTTGTTGTTGAACGCTTTTTGGCTCTTTCTGTACATGTTCATACAACTTTCTTTCGTCCAAATTGGTTTCGTGTACGTTCGTTTGCAGATGTCGGTGCTGCGATCGTACACAGCCTTCAAGAGATTGTTCATGCCGTTGGCCGCATCGATCAGTTCGTTCTTCAACATGTCCTTTATGTATAGCAAATAGTGCGTATCTTCTCGCGCGTATTTTATCAATTCCTCTGGTAAGGGCCTTATACGCCAATCGGCTAACTGAAAGTGTTTACTGGGATCTATACTACAATATTTTTTCAACAGATAAGACAAACTGAGAAAAGGCAAGTTGAGCTGTTTCGCGGCTTGATGAGTATCGAACATGTTCACCACGTACAACGACAGGTCTCTTTGAAGCCACAAAATATCCATGTCGGCACCATGGAAAACTTTAAGAATCGAAGATTTCGTGAAGATCTCGTTAAGTTGATGCAATTCCGATCGCAGTGCTAAAGTGTCAATTATATAATCGGTGTCCACTGTCGAAATTTGCATCAGACACGTTATGCCTTGAAACGTTCTGTAGGAATGATGTTCCAAGTCAATGGCCAATTCTTTATGATTTTTCAGATCTTCCAGGAGGATTTTGATATCAGATGGTTTCTCGATGTATTTGTAATTAGTGCTCTCCAGCGACTTGTACTTTACTGGTGTCGTTTTCCGCAATTGGCACTCTGGTGTTTCAAATTTGTCCAACTCGAATTCATAGGGATGATTAAAAATCTCTCCAAGTTCAGTTATTTCGACATAAAGCTCTAAAGGTTTTAAAGAGTTTGGTTTGTCCTTAATACGAGGTACCCATGGCTTAGAACTATTGTCAATCTTATCTTTAAACATCAACTGTGGTCTCTGCACATTTTTTCCACCTAACAATCGCACTTTCTCAGAACTGTTAGACTCTTCGCTGACAATTCTTGTATTCCAACTGCCATTCATTAATAGCTTTGGCATTTGCGACACAATCAGTTCTACTTGGGGGTTGCGTGTAATACCACTTTCTTCATCCATTAATATGTTCTATGGCAAAAAATAGGAAAATATGTTGAGAAATGTTAACTTTGGAGAGATTCAGAACAATATGAAATTGTACAAATGCTTACAGCTTGGTCTAACAATAAGTCATTTGTTTCTAGTAAGAGGTCAAACTTTTCTCCCACATCTCGATTCTCAATATTATCAGAACCTCCTGCTAGTTTTATTATCTTTTGCATAGTGGTCAGTATTATTTTAATATCTTTTTTTCTGGCATTGTTAAAACTCGGAAAGCAAGCATAATAGTTGAAATTGTCTCCAGCAGGCAGATTGTTAGCAGACTTGATTCCAGCTCTTAACGCATCATACGTTTCCTGAAATATATTTTGTGTATATCATATGTAGATGGTAACAGAAATTACTGCATTAAATACAGTTTTTATTGCATTTGCTAAATATACACATGCATAAAATAAACACCTAGTTGCATATACGTGTAAACTAACCTGAAGGTACTCGGCGAATGTTTCATATCCAGGAATAAGACTCAACACTTCGTCCGTCTTTTTCTGGTCAACGTAATCGGTTTGCGAAACATTTGTCTTGGAATCCAAATTTTCAGTAAGCTCCATGTCTGCTATAGTACATTAATAATACGCATAAAAATTTTATTCTTGCTCCTTACAAAATAATTGTGCCTTTTGAGGTTATACATCGACGGCCATTGAAAACTTCGTGCCCAGAGCTGCGTTCCATTTCATGCATATGAGCGCATTTATCTATACTATACGTGACGTGTACTATATAAATAAATGTGCGCTTAAGCATGAAACGGACCGCAGCCTATTAGTACCAATTCAAAATCGCTAATGCGTGTAATGTGCGCATTTGAATCATTTGAACTGAACCAATCGGTGCGTTCAGACAACTCAACAGTTGCACAATAATTGAGAAATAATCACTTATGATTGGGTCGTACTTTTGAAACCGTAGCGGATTTTGAAGAATAGTCTTATCATAAGTAATGATTTCTCAATATCACATCTTTTTATCTCTGAAGAACTCTTGAAAGTAATTTATAGACACAAGAGATACAATCTGAAGAAGCATTTAACACTTTACTGCGAGAGAAGATACATGTACACATCAGCTCAATGGACAACGTGAAAGACAAAACTGTAATGATTACGGGAGGAGCTACCGGACTGGGCTACAAATACGCCGAAATCTTGCTAAAACATGATGCAAAAAGTGTGGCTCTAATTGATTTACCAACATCGAACGGTCAAAATGCAGCGACTACATTGGAAAATGAATTTGGAAGAGGTCGTGTTATTTTTATTGCGGCTGACGTGACCAAGGATTTGGAAAAAGCATTTAAAACAGTCATCGATAAATTTTCGACGCTTGATATTCTTATCAACAACGCTGGCATCTTGAATGAAAATCTTATGGAGCAAACTATCAATGTCAATGTAATAGCATTGATTCGCGGCTCATTTTTGGCTCTCGATCATATGGGAAAGCATAAAGGCGGCAAAGGTGGTGTAATCGTGAATATTTCATCTATAGCTGGATTGCGGCCGTCTTCTAGCTTGCCAATATATTGCAGTTCGAAATACGCCGTTCTTGGATTTAGTCGGTCTTTGGCGGATTTATACGACACTACTGGAGTACGAATTCTCATACTGTGTCCGGGTGCTACACAGACAGCAATGATGACCGACAATATCCAAGATAGAATTTGTAATATCGCAAATGTTACAGCAGTAGCGCAAACATTTGATGCATTTTCGAAACAAACAACCGATGACGTAGCAAATGCAATGTTAAATCTTATACAAAAAGGTAAAAATGGAGCAGTTTGGGTTAGTGAAGACGGTGAACCACCATATGCTGTGGATTTTCCTCATTATTCCAAGCAATCTGTATAAAACCCCGTATAAAACTGTAATGTTGTACTTTATTTATTAATTACTGTTTTATTTATTAGTCCGGGAATCTATGTGTACAAATATGATGAATGACATATTAAATTATGGGAAATAAAAAGGTGATGCAATAAATTGTATTGTTTATTTTTACGTGTATATGTATCTCTAGACAATGTTTTTTATTTACATCTTTAAAATTGAGAAAAAATACTTATTCTAAAAGTAGTCTCTTCAAACTGTATCTCTATATATGGAACTTAGTCTTATCAGTGCACACATTTACTTAGGCCCGATTTCTTCATACTTTCCTAACTACCCTCTAAGTAAAAATACACAAAAAGATATACTTTATTTTTTTAGATAAAGTTATCGAGAACTTATCAGAGGTGAAGAAATTGGGCATTAATTAGAACAAGTGTACTTTACGTGTATGTACGTCTGTGGAAACACCACTTGTATGCACACGAGCAAAATTATATTTTTATTTTCATCTAATGGATTATGAAGATAAATTGCGTAAGTCCCCAGATAGCCAAATGTGAAAACTCAATATAAAGCAAATTATTGTATAGATTAAGTTGCTCGCCAATTGCTGTTGTGTTGTTTTTATTTAACGCAACGAAAATGTTTTTGTCAATTCAGTATCAATATGCTGAGTTTTATTATCAATCAATTGTTGTAGCCAATGTTTAGNACATATGAGTCAGCAATATGTGAGCAATATATGAGCAATTATTTTTATTCATAAGTTGAGAAAACTAATATAAGTTTATTGCCGATGAGTTGTTGAGAACTTGCTGTTATTACATTTTGAAAACTGTTGTTGGCA